GCTTCTAACAAACGTCGGCCCGTTAATTACACTGAGGTGAAAATTATAATTTAACTCTCTTGCAAAACCAATATAAGTTAGCCAGATTTGTGCCTCGAGTTTTGTTCTTGTGCTACTAGTGTAACGTGATATTGTAAGACGAAGGATTACCTCACTGGAGATTACACTGTAAAATCATTAGAAATAAGAATAACGTATTAAAGTTTTTTTAAGATTTAAAAGTTCCTAAAGTGTCAAATGCTGCATTTCTATATTCCTAAATTTTCAAAGTTTTAAATTTTTGAAAGCCCAGATTGTTTAACAGTCAAATTCTGCATTTGAAAAACATACGTTTACAAACCTTCAAATTAACAAATTCTTAATTTCCAAATTTTAGTTTACCAAATTCTCCATTCTCTAAATCTCCAAGTTATCCCCTAAATTTTATAAAATCTAAATTTTCAAATTATTAAATTTCTACACTTAAAAATTCCCAGATTCTCAAATCTTTACATTCCCAAAATCCTATATTCAAAATATAGGCTTGGGGATCTAGGTATTTGGGAGTCTAGGGATTTTAGAATCTAAAGATTTGGAGAATTAGGGATCTTTGAATATAGGGATCTAGATTAAATCTAGATATAGAGATTTGAGAATCTAGGGAGGTGGAAATCCAGGGACTTGGGGATTTAGGTATTTGGGTGTCTAGGGATTTCAGAATCTAAAGAGTTGGGGAATTAGGGATTTTTAATCTAGATTATATCTAGAATATATCTAGATTTAATCTAGATCCCTATATTCAAAAATCCCTAATTCCCCAAATCTCTAGATCCTAAAATCTCTAAACCCCTAAATACCTAAATCCCCAAGTCCCTGGATTTCCATCTCCCTAGATTCTCAAGTCCCTATATTCCAAAGTCCCTAGTCCCAAAATATCTAGATCACAAAATTTCTAATCCTCCAAATGCCTAAATCCTCAAGTCCCTAGATTTTCAAATTTGTATGTTTCATATTCCTAGATCCCAAAATCTCTAGATCACAATATCCCTCAATCCCCAAATATCTAAACCCCCAAATTCCTAAATTCCCAAAATTTCTAAAACACCAAAATTCTCAAATGCCTAAATTTCGAAATTTCAGAATGCTAAATTTCCAAATTCCCAAAATTATAAAATCTCAAATTCTCAGATTATAAACTGTCAAAATTTTTAAACTTCCTAATATCCAAATAACTAAATCTCCTAAACCCCCAAATTCGCAAATTTTTATGTCGTTTTGCGGATTCGCTTGAAACACCCTTGTCACAGCTGCTCGGATTTGTGTAACAGTGTCATAAACCGTTCCTTTTATAGCTAATTTCAGTTTTGAATAAAGAAAGTAATCGCATGAAGATAAGTCTGGTGAAATTGAAGGATATTGAAGCACATAGAGTTATTTTTTCGCCAAAAATTCACGAACAGTCAATTCTGTGACATTGTTATTGCAACAGAAACCAACTTCCCGGCGTTCGATATTCAGGCCCCAAACGAACGATCCTCTTCCACAAATGTTCCGTAACACCCAAATAATATTCGCCATTAACATTTTGTCCCTGTGGAACGAATTCTCGAAGTATAATTCCTTTAGAATCGTAAAAGCAAATTAACTTCTCTCGGGACTTCTGGAATCGCAATTTTTTTTATTTCGGAGAGCCTGGAGATTTCCACGTAGCACTTTGGCGCTTTGTTTGAGGTTCATACCTGAAGCACCAAGTCTTGTCACTAGTTAGAATTGATTCCAGGAATGTAAAGTTTCGCCTGGCTGTTTTGATAAGATCCTCGCAATATTCAACGCGAGCAATTTGTTGCTCTTGCCTGAGATTTTGTGACACGGTGACGAAAGGTTCTGTTGCATTAAACACTATAAGTTTACAATTCGTTGCACGATTCCATTAATGATCGTATGTGTTTTGCAGGGGAGGTATACTGTTGTCAGATAACATATTGTTTTTATACATGACGCTGGTTTTCCTTACATTTAAAAAGTTCCGTTACTTTTCTGATGTATTGTGTATACAAAGCATGCTGGATACAAGCTGTCACGAAAGCAAAGGGTGCAAATACAAGATAGTAACATGTGTTAATAATGTTATGTACATGTGTTAGTAATGTGATAGTAGTTAATCTATCATGTTAGTAGCTAATAAATTGTATCATTACAATTTGAAGGCCTTTTAATTTTACGGATAATGTAAAAAATGTTGAAAATTTGTAGTCGCCCTAATTCGATGTCCACGGACTATCTCTCAATTTAGTATCACATCGTTTAGAGTAATAACATTATTTATAATTGCACAAGAGATGATCAACTAAAGTCCAGAATGAAGTCTCCTATATGTATATCTATTTCCTTCTTGACCAATTTAGATTAAGACATTACAGAAATATTTGACACAGCCTTAAATAGCTGGGTCAAAAATTTTTAAAAATATTCACATTCCCAGAACACTATACTAATTGGACCTATTTTAAACTGCGGAAGTATAGTCTGGTCTCCGCACTGTGGCTCTCACATTAATAATATGGAATGCGTTCAGCACAAGTTTTTAAGGCTTGCTGCCAAGTATAGTGTTCCATGGTACTTCACTCTGACGATTTAATTCTTAACACGTTATTTGCCACGTCAGACATCGGTGACTGACGCTGTAAAATATATAAAACTAAAAAATTACATTGTTTTAATTACCTGGAATTTATTTAAAATTTACTTAATTTTTATTTATTACATAATTGTATCGTTGATGTATTATATTACATTGTATTTAAATATTTCTTGGCATAAAATATTAATGGATTTTATTTTATTATGCGCCCAGAATTTAATAACGCATTAATGAGTTAAATCTTCAAACATTGCAGAATAGAAGGAAAATGTTATATTCCTTTGTAAAATAATGAAAAGTATATTTTGCTTGGTAGTCCAACTTTCCTCTTTGAATATAACCTCAACTTACCCAAGAAATTACACTGCAATTTGCACGGAACATCGCACTAATTGAGGTTATTTCAGTTATATAAATCGAATCGGAAATTACGTTAACTCTGTTCAATTGAATATGCTCTCTGTCCTTTCCTACGTTTAGCGGTCGACGCGAGCCAAATGTAAACAAGGAATCGACACCTCGACTCGATAACTGCAACAAAATCGGGAACAAGTGTTGCAGTTATCGAGTCGAGGTGTCGATTCCTTGTTTACATTTGGCTCGCGTCGACCGCTAAACGTAGGAAAGGACAGAGAGCGAACGAGTGAGGCTGTTTAAAATTAAATTTTTAGAGAAGTCTGAAAAAACAAACAATATTACTACATAAACAAATGTTGTTCAAATTATGCCGTGTTTGGTCTTATTTTGATCAGGAGAATTTCACAATTACATTGGTAAAAGTAATATTTAGTAAAACCAAAAAATAAAAAAGTTTTACTGTTGCATTAGTGTTGTCACATCGATACGCCGGTTCGGATTACATTACATACGCTGCTCGCTCGTCAAGTGACAAAATTCAAGGGGGATCCCCCTAAGTGGTGGGGATAGTAACGTTGCAGTTATCCAGTCCATCGTTTGTCGCAGTTATCCAGTCTTTACTGTATTCAGAAAATTCATAGTATTCTTAAAATACTCATTAGTAGACCTTTAATTATATTATGTTTGCGAGGCATATATTTTATATTATTTTCCACTATATTTCTTCTCCTTGTCGCTTTTTTATTTAAACCAATGTCTTGTATGTTTTAAGTAACTACAAATTGTAATGTTTTACATATCACATATCTTAATAATATTATTACTGTACTGGTAACATTATTACTACGATATTATTACTACGTAATATCATCACTATATTTTAGTGATATTATCATTATGATTGAGTAATATTATCACTATGTCTGAGTAATATTATTACTAAGTTATTTAGTAATTATTACTTAGCAACCTTAGTAATATATGATGCATTATATTATTTCTTAGTAACCATGGCAATATCTTGCAGTTTTACTATCTAGTGATCTTCCTCGACATTATATTCTTTATAACAATACCGTTATAAGTAAAATAAAAATGTTATATAACCTCTACAAGTGAAATAAAAATGACTAACGTATTAAAGAATATAAATATAAGTCAACGTAAAAATTATCAAAATATATTTTATAGGTTGTGTCTATGTTGATACACAAAGTATGTTTTACATCGTTTTTTTATTTTAACTTTATGTTTTATTTTCTCTCTAACTGTAAAACTGCAATATTTCGAACATATTTTACGTATCTTAGTAGCATCATTACTAAGTTATCTTCGTAATTATTATTTAGTAATCTTAACCCTTTTCGACTCCTATGCCGAGTGTGGCTCGACGTCACTTTTCTCTTGGATCTTATAAGAAATTCAGATAAATAGATTGGTTCAATATATGTTTTTTCATTAATTTACTATTTATAATAAATGAAAAATGTATTTGTCACATACGCGCACTGTTACAACACACTTAATGGAGAAACCCTTTCTTGATCTATTTTGCAAATAAAAGGGTTGGTAGCTAAAAGAAATTAAGGAGTGCAAAGGTTTAATATGTAACCTAAATAAACATCATGTAGTGTAGTGATCAAAATTATACTTCCTTTCTATATCAAAATTCACCATTACAAATAAAATGAAAATTACCAAAATTTTATTAAAATAATTCAAACGTAAATAAACGTTACCTTAACATTGCAACAATAATTCCCCAAAAAGGTCATAAGTTAGTAAATAAATAAAACAATTTTTCTGTAAAAATTCATAGGACAAATAAAACGTAAAATGCATTAAAACAAGCGACGCCGCAGCCGAACAGCACTTAGCCGGTAATACCGTGTAAAAGTTAGCAGACTAAATTCGAGGCAAAAGCTTCTCTGAGCTTGTCAAAACACGCAGTGCTTTTGTTTCCAGTTCGGCTGCCAGTTGCCGTTATTTTTCCATCAAATACAACGATGTGTTTCATTTGCAGGGTCGACCCGGCGAGAAAGGGCAAAAAGGCGAGCTGGGAAGCCCAGGGTTCGACGTCTTCTCCGCAGTAAAGGTATCTAGCTACGTTGTCTAGAGAAACTGAAATAGCGCGCTAGAGCCAGAACAACGTACGTAATACGAAAATGCATCGTTTCTCTCTCGACTCGTTCACTTTGGAACGAGATTTTTGCAAAATTTCACCGCGACTATCTGGGAGATAAGAGAAAAAATGACTTAGAAAAGAGCGAGGATAAAAAAGGTGATAGGGGTTGAAACGATGCAATTTCAGTTAAAAGACGTTTATTAAAGCAGCGGGTATTGCTGAGAAGCGCGTTTCAGTCGGATATCGATATTTTTCATACAGCTTTAGTAATGTTTAGTAATTCTTATGTTTTAATAATAATATTTGTTATCAATTACGTATTTATTTAAAATCTTTTAATAGTTTTACAGTTTTTGGATATGCTGAGTTTAACCCTTTGTCGCTTGATTTTTTTAAGGAAAAGCATTTATGAATTCTTGTGAATAATATTAAGAACAAAAATTATTTCATTGTAAACAGTTATAAATATTTTCATTTCAAATTTTAGTAATTTAAAGATTTAACAATTCAGACATTTTAAAAATTTTTAGAATTCTTAGTACTTTGAGAATTTTTGAAACTTTTGAAATTTTTGGAATTTCTGAAATTTTTAATATTTGAAATTATTTATATTTGATATAAATAATAATTCAAACCAAAGTAAAATATTGTGTAATACTTTGTGTCCAAATTATTTCTCAAATTATTAATTTGACTCTCGATAACCGCATTTACTAAAGGAAACATTACTAAAATTGAATATAAACATTTAAATACAAATCACCGCCACAAACGATATAATTACGTTTTCTTTAACCGAGTTATCCGACTGGAACCACGTTTCTCTTGAAAGTAATAGAAGCAACATTTACCAGGCATTTTCTGCAAATTGCTGAACTGTGAATCTCGATGTTTCTCGTTAGCTCGGTGATCGAGGACAACGGCTTCATTCTTGATTGCAATTAATGTTTGCTAATATTTAGTAGTTTAAATAGCTGATAGCTGTTGCGCCAAGAACGACAGACTATTGCGTCTACATAAACGCATGCCATACCTTGGGAACAGAAACAGTGTTCTCGAACCAAAGTATCGATCATGCGTTGTATTAATTCTCGCTAACCATTTGCCACGTGGTGATCAAGAATCCATGTATTATTACTTCTTATACTTCTCGTATGTTTGACAGTTAACATTAAAAAGGAATGACTTATCAAACATTCCTTTGTTCGTTATAAAAAAAATGAATGATATTCGAACAAAATTTCTTTCGCAATTATATTTATTAATCCTAAATAATGTAAATAATGTATCATACCATATTTTATGAAGGTACATAATATATCATATTATATTTTAAGAGATTAGAGTAAATAATATATCATAGTATATCTTAATAGAGATAACCTTAATTATATGTACATATACATAGTATAAAAAATAACTTTTATGTTATTTATTTATTAATTAACTTTGCATACAATGCAATTTTAATTTGACTTACTTGGATACAATAAATAATCTAGTCAATGTTTTGTAGAAGGTAATTGAAAAAGAGAAGGTAATTTTAAAAAATTGGTATAAAATACAAATAGGATTTACTTAATAATTATATTAGTCTTAATATATAAATTTAGAAAATTAATCTTAATAGGTAAATTCACAAGATTAGATAATTTTACAAGATTAATCTTAATAGGTAAATTTACAAGGTTAGATGAATAATTTTACAAGATTAATCTTAATAGATAAATTTAAAAGATTAGTCTTAATATATAAATTTGCAAAATTAATCTTAATAGGTAAATTTACAAGATTTGATAATTTTACAAGATTAATCTCAATAGGTAAATTTACAAGTTAAGTTAAAAAATAATTTTACAAGTTTACTCTTAATAGGTAAATTTACAATATAACTCGAAAACCTATAACTTTCTCATTACCTCTAATATAAACATCATTATTAAAAATAAATGCATCAAGAAATAAGTCAATCTGTTCAAAATGTTCCACAAATAATACAGTTGTACCAATGTCAACCTACATTTCAAAAACTTGGATCATTAGCTTTGTAGTAAGCCACATATGTGTCAATAACGCTCAAGGAATTAACACAGCACGAGTCGTGAAGTTTGAGTGGCACGAAGAATCTTTTGAATGTCAATGAGTCATCGTTTCAATGGAACGGGTTAACTAACGACCTCGAATACCTGAAAACCGGTGTAAAAATTACGGAAACCTGCCAATCGATTCTATCACATTGTGAACCACTTGTTAACAACGCTAATCCTTATTAAAACGGATCAGAGTTTTTACACGGATTCTTGATGAGCCAGTGGCGCGAGGTGTAGCGTGCTATAGTGCGTGTCATAAATATATCAATCTCTCAAAATTTTGATAATAGGACTTGTGAAAAACAATTCTTAACATAGCGTTATTGAACAGTGCCATCAAAATGAATCTTAAAAGCAATACACACTGAAATGATACGTACTGAAAACAAACGATACACTTAATTTATTGTAACAAGTAACTGAAGAAATGAAAATGTTCACTCTTCATAAATATACCAACTGCTAATATTTTGTTGTAATTGTACAACATTTAGTACTTCATTACATTTTTCGTTATTACGGATTGTGTACAAAATATAATTTTGCATTCTTGCTACGAGATTTTTTATTATATTTCCGTCTCCTACTTCAAGATTTGCAATTTTTCATTTTTGTACATTTATTTATATAAATTATGTCCTTTTTATTTTCAAAGTTATTTCGGAGATGCCAGATAGAACACACAGCGCAAAAAAATATACAACAATAACACTGTTACTAATTTTATGAAATATTGAAAGTTGGTGTATTAATGAAACAGTTGAATCCTTTATTTTTGTGTAATCAGTTAATGTGGATGAAACCGAATCTCATTAACATTCTTTACCTCACCATACGTACAATTTTTGTAGTAAAAAAGGTACAAATCAATCTATTTTAATTAACTGTATTTTGAAAAAAATCGTAAAGATTTTAAGAAAACAATTCTTTTACATAAAAATAATAATCTTTTAAACCGGTCATTTTGACTCGTTTGGTGCTTTTGATTTCTTACTACACGATTCATTGATTAAAACAAATAAAGAACGTTCAAATATCACGTCAGTTTGACGTTTAACAATCCTTGGCTATTTAGAATGAAACCAAATTTTGAATTAAATTAAATTTCTTCAAATCAAGGCATATTAACAAAAAAATTATCAAAGCACCGTTTTATAAATTCCTTATTTCACTTTGCAAAATTTAATGTTTCTTGAATATCGTAGTAAGTGTGCATTATTCACTGGTGGATTCACTGCCAAAAAGTAAGATTCACAGTAACTATATCACGAATGAAATTCGACTAAATGAAAAAATGAAGTCACGAGTACAGGTACAAGGTAAGAAGTTGGATCTGATACGTTTACGACACGCACTGTATCTTTTTCTCGTTGACGCATCGATCTTCGATGATACAGATTAACAATATAAACCATCTTTCCGCCTACGGGTCAATGCACAGGGATTAGGGTTAAAGAGGTCGGTGACGACGCTCCGCGGCGGGACGCTCGGCTATGCGGAAATCGTCGCTCTGAAGGTAACCGGCCTCTTCGAAAGGCAACAGGGCTCGTGTTGCGGTTCAGAAATCTCTTCTCGTCGTCGCTGCTCCCGCTTCTTCTACCTCTTCTTTTTCTTCCTTCGCTTGTTCTCCTATTTCTCACCGTGGTCTCTTGCTGTTCCCTCCTTCCTTTGATCACCATATCCACCTCATACTTTGTTTCCACGTTTGGAACCCATCCCCGTTTCAGTTTCCTGTCCGCGCTCCTAGACGCAATCCTATTTCTAGTCGTTGCCTCGTGCGGTGCTTTCGGTGTAGCGTTCTATCGTTGGTTTAAATGGTTGGTTTAAAGTGCGACGATGCGACGCTCCGAACGAGAAAAGCGCTTCATTTCGCGAATGCTCTTCCTGGATTGCTCGAACACGGTGCAAGAAGTTGTTTCTAAAATAATAGACAACGCGTGAATTACCTTTTTTCATATTTTTAATAAGATATCTAGATTTTGACGGGTTCTGATTTTGTGTTGATCGAAACGTTGAAGAATGGAACTGATGTCAATGACCTTAGAATATCTTGTTAAATCTAATATCCTGAATATCTTGTCATCTGATGCGTGAGATTGACTCATTTAATTATTGAGATATTTGAGGACAGTGAAGCCTACGTATCTGGTGGATATTCTGGATGTAGTATGATTATGTGAAACTGTGTATGGTATAGAATGCAATACACAGGAGATTTAGTAACCGATGAAAGAGGTGACTTTACGTCAAAAATAGAAATATTTTATATTAAATGTTAAAATCACGAATGCACAAGTTCAGTTGTATTCTGCAACTATAACGACTTCTTTCACTGCGACGGAATTTTATTTAACCGTTGAAGAAGAGAAGAGAATCGCTTGTTCTCACGTTTAAGCGCGTTCGTCGCATTTTGACGTATTTGGTTTTTGGTTGGTAATGGTATTTACTTTAAGTTACAGTATTTAGGTATATCTCTGGGCATGTCTTGGATTCGGAAGAGCAATGAGAAACGAGATACCCCAAAGATCCATTTTAGGTTCTCCCGCCTACCCGTTGAACCCCCAACCCCCTCTCTATGTTTTCGTCTGGTAGCGATTTGGTTTTTACCCGTAGTGTTGACCTACTTCTAGGGACTTCAGGAGCAAGGGCATAATATCTCAGCGCAGACCATCATACAACTGAAAGTAAGTGCGCCTGCTCTTTCGGAGCCCCTCATCCCCCACCCACCCCTTCTCCTTTTCTTATCATCGATTCTCCAGGCATTCGATTTCATACTCTATTTACAGAAAAGTTATTTCTGTAAAATCAGCTGTATCTTTCCCGCGAAACTATGTTGGTTTAATTCGTGCCAATTCTAAACGGACGAATTCCAGTTCGAAACGGATTCATACGTTGAAACGAGAAGTTACTATGTTTATAAAAATCGGTACAAAATTTAATAATTAAAAATGTTGCAAAAAATAAATAACAATTATTAATTGTTAATTTTATTATTAATTTTCACATTATTTCACATTATTAATTTTCTATAGAACACGTATTTACTGATAATACCTGGCGAATCGAACTATGGCGTGCATAAAGAAAGGCGCAAGAGGGTTTCTGATAAGGAACCGAAATTTCTCTTTATGCTCGCCTGTCACAATAAGAAACATGTATATTTACCTGGCACCTTCTTATTTTATCTTTTTCTTTGAAACCTTTCTCCTCAGGGCCGTGTAGGAAGTATAAAACAGTTTCTGATAAACTTGTTTAAATATTACATCAGTTATTGTACGAAAGAATTTATAATCGACAGAAATTAATAGCATTTATAATTCGCGACAGTTAACAACATAATCATTGAAAATTTGTAATTAACGTAAAGATCTTTTACGTAGTCAAAATTTGTATATTTAACGTACATTATTGTTGAAGATATTTATTTATTTTTAAAAAATATAGTTACAATTTCATAATCTTTTTAATACAAATGAAGATTATTGTATACAAATGAAGTTATTTGTTAATAGAAATTTTTTGGAAAACCTGTTTCTAGTGAAAATCACAAGTGTAACGTCTTATAAGAGGTACCATTCAAATAAATCTTAGGATTAAGTAGCTTGTTTTATTTAATTTTTCATACAATTGTTTTATATCCTCTAGAATAGAACACGTTAAGGAAAGACAAAAAATTGTAAGGAAAAGGACGAGAAGTGAAAAAATATAGCACGGTCCTGGTCTTTCTGCATGACATTCTACCTTCAAACACTTCACGCAAATTCAAACGCATCCGTTGGAACGAGGGTGCGTGCACGTGCGAGTATTGCATGCTATTTTTTCTGTATTTTATATCTTTTTCTACATGTACGATTCCCTGAAAACATAGTACAACGTGTACTTCACATTTTCCATTAGGCGAATGTACAAACAAGTCGTATGCGTAGATGTGCAAGCGTGTGTACGTGCGTGTGTCGAGTGCATGTGCACCTTTGTGTACATTTTCAAATTGCATGAGTTTTCATACGAAATTGTCAAACGTTTCTAAATGTGATTACAGCAGTGTAATTAGTACAGTCGAAGGTTACTCGATTAGAATAATTTTCAAAAGGAATAATAAAATGAAGTTTCAATTTGAGTATTTATTGAATTTTCGAATGAAGATGCTTTTAATAATTTTAATCTTGATGACAATGGCGAAATTATTGATCTTCGTCTGTCGGACTATAATTTGTGTTATATTTTAATTATATTAACCCTTGTCGGTCGCTAGTTTTTTATACGTGATTTTCAGTAGGTTGGAACTGGTTTCGATAAATATACGAAAAATCTTCAGTATTATAAGAATAACATTTTTGTTTTGAAGGTACAAGTTTCAAGTTACAAAGTTAGAAAGTTTCAAATAATTATTTATAAGTTTGTAATGTATGATATTTTTTAAGCAATCTCCAACAAGGAATGGTTGCACAGAAGTATTGCTTTTCTTTCTTCAGACAATTTACGATCAGAACATACTAAGTAATCATTATACAGGGTGGCTCACCACATGTTGCCATCTAAATTTGTGTCATTATTTGTATTTTCCTTTAGCGTCAAGTTGTAAAATATGTAATTTTCAATCTAATCTATCCTCATTGTTTGTTAACGTTCCATATCGCGCAGTTCCTTCTCGAAAATTAGAATTTCGACATTTTCCATTATTGTCACCTCCTACGTGATGTGCGACCGCAGCGCCAAAATAGGGTTGTCGCGTGAGAGGTTCCAACTGAAACGGGTTAATATGCTGAAAAGAAATATCATATATGCAATTACTCGCAGAACTGAAAATGCATTTACGTTGTACGTGAAAATTTTAATTAATCATATGTCGTACTAATCCTAGTTAATTTTAATAAATTATGTGTCATACAGTTTGCTGTAGTTTCATATTCTATTACATTTGAGTATACATATAAATAGCATAAATACATCATGGCACATAATTTGCACTTAATTAACTTTACACTTAATGAAGTTTACACTTCGTTAACTTTGTTCATAAAGGTGCACGAAATATTGGTCTATTTTTCGTATAACTGTGTTTAAAGTCTGTAATACTTTTTAAATAATAAATCTTATATTTTAAATTACTCAGAAAAAGACATTTAAAATTACTTATTATTACTAATTATTACATTTTTTAAAGAGAATTTTTTTATACTGATTTTTTTGTACTGATATGTTCTTTAAAAAATATATTTATATTTATTTTCGAATAAATTTATTTCGAATATATGTATTTTCGAAATACATTTTTGTTTTTATTTTCTCGATAATTTTCACGTACATCGTAAATATACGAATAATTTTGTGAGTAACTAAACATGGTTAAAGTATTCTATTGAAGAAGTGAAGTATTCAAAATTGTATTTATTTATTAAAAGTCTTTTTAATTTAACGTATATTCAGGTATTGGAAACAGAAGACCAAATAAATCTTAAAGTAGTATTAAATCAACAAACTTTGCAACTTTACGAATCATGTCATTATTTAACGATATGTTTTCAATCAGTTCCTATATACATATTAGAATTTCATGTATATGAAACCACACGAATCTTCATTCACTATTCAGTGTTTCACCCGATAAAAAAATATTCAGTTTCAATATCTGTTCCTATCTATCTTTTTTTAGTCACCTATTTACAAATCTATGCTATTTTAACAGCATTTTCCAATTATATTGATGTATGAACATTTTATTTAATTCGGAAAAAGAATATTGACAATTCGCAAGAATTTCCAGTGAGTTTCTGTTGCATAAAATTTTTAATCAAAATCAGAACAAAGGATTATTTTAAATCGTGTAATTCGAAACAGAGATTGACGTGATCAGACCTGAAGTTTCAAATTACGTCATAAGCTTTATATTATATTTTTATGTTATCACATAATGTCAGATTACATATTTCGAAATCTGCCATGGGATATGCAATTTAATATATCGAAATTTTGACAGCAGATTCGCTGCTTTTACAATTTAACAATAAAATAGATTTAACGATATCAGTATCGTAATTATCTCATTTCACATCGGTTTGTAGATTTTTTAGTTATCTGTATTTGCTGCTGTATTTCATAGCGATTTCATAGTTCTGCTGTACTTCATATTATAGGTAGAAATTAATAGATTTCGTTGAAACGCTTTTACAAATTACTTGCATTTTTTAAAATCGGAATTATCTGATGTGTGTGCATGACGCTCTAAAACCTGAAAACTGTGCGAGGAAAATACTTTATTCCCAAAATTATTAACAAATTATTATACTATTATATTCTTCTTTCGCAAATTTCTATGATTTTGTAAATCATGTAAATCACTTTCTGTTCAATGAATTTGAACAGAATTCAATTTTCTTACATCTTCATTCGTTAACACATCCACACATCGACATAAAATAACATAAACATTCATTCAAAATGGAGTCACAAATTGGAATTTTATGAACATAAGTTAAATAAAAATGATATTTCTTGCTGTTAAATGTGTCTTAAAAACAATTTTTAAAAATAAGAAACAATAATTCAAATAATTAAATAATACATTAAAATATTGAGTTTAGTAATAATTCAAGAGATGGGAGCACAAGAGTGTAACATTACACAATTACATAAAAAATTACATCAAAGAATTTTTATATGAATTATATGTATATGATATAATATCATAAATTATATGTAATATTAAAAATCATTTTTTGTACATAAATTACATATAATGTAAATATCATATTATAAATTATTCTATAAGTTATTTTTCAGAAGGATAATATTTATATTTTATCAAATTATGTATGTATACATATATATAATACAATATATACAAAATTTAAAAGAATTTGTATTTCACATAAATAACAAAAATATAAAGTATATACATATTTATATATTTATTTTACATAAATAATTTATTTTGCATAAATATATATATATCTTTTTTTATTTATGTAAAAAATAAATTTTTATAAATTTCTGACAATTTTTATAAATCCTTTTAATCACTTCAAATGAAATTGATGAATTAAAAAAATGACATTGAACTTGTCTATTCTTTATAAATAAAATATTCCCCAAAAGGGTATAACATTCTAGTAGAATAAAAGAATAAATTAGAAGACTGTTATCTTTGACAATGGCATAATTTTTGTAAAACTGCCAGCAACTTTTAGGGTACCCTCATAAAAGCTTATAAATAGAGGTCCGTGAATAAATAACTCATCACACGTGTTTGTATGACCAGCATATCTCACTTCTAAAAGTGTTTTCATATTCTTCTGAAGTTCTTGCTTCAAGCTTCCACTTTAGTTGTGTTTACAATAGCTAGGTTTCATAAGCGAAGCATGTTCTTGGGAACAAATGCTTGGATGCAGCTTCTTTCAACACCTTATTCTCGATGAATTTTTCATCGCTTTCATACATGTGCTCATAGATAAAATATACCTAAGCTTCCTAGGTGAAGAGTAATTTTTAAATTTAATATTGGTAATGTTCCCCGAGGATCGTTGCCTTTAACGTTGCCTCAACAGTTGTTTCTTGTCACAAAAGAAGTCTTGCATTAGTAAAGGCAGTGATGGTTAAATCGTGCTGGAGAATAAACATTCGAAATTTATTTTGTAACACAGAATTTGCTGTTCTTGACACTGTAAGAATTATTTCATTTTTAACACGTTAAAAATTGTTAATAATTGTTTAATTTTTGATACATTCAAAATTGTTACTAACTGTTTAATTCTTGATACTTTAAAAATGGTTAATAACTGTTTAATTCTTAACACCTTAAAAATTATTAATGATTGTTTAATTCTTGATACATTAAAAATTATTAATAATTGTTTAATTCTTGGCGCATTAAAAATTGTTAATAACTGTTTAATTCTGGACACATTAAAAATTGTGAATAATTGTTTAATTCTTGACACATTAAAAATTGTGAATAATTGTTTAATTCTTGACACATTAAGAATTGCAAACAAATATTTTTAAAAGAAAAATTATCGTTAGTTTCTTCACATACAATTTTGTCCTGATTTCAACGCAAACGAAATTTTTTCGTTTTGTATTTTCATTATTCATATTTTATGATATCCGTGAATTTCTGCAATAAAAGTCATAAAGTTGCGATCCACCGGTATACGTAACACAGAAAAATTGTAAAAGTAGGGATTTGATCAAATCCCTAAGGTATTTAATCAATTTACGGAAGATATTAAAATAACAACTACGTGAAGTGATTTCCCTGAAGAAAGTAAGTGTTTTGATCAAATCCCTTAACTGTATTAGTGAATAGATGAAATAGTGTCAAAGATTTGTTGTACTTCCATAACATCGTATTTTTTCCATAATAGTACTGTTGTTATTTTAACATCTTTCGTGAATTGATAATATATCTTAGGAATTTCATCAAATCCCTATTTTTATCATCTCCAGGTGAAATACAATACATGTAGATATAATAATGTCTGATTCGTTGCGATTTCATATCTTCATATGGCAGTCATGGAATTTCGCAAATGGCGTGCGATTATCGCGATAGCATTTTGTCAATGCTGACATCTTATCGGGATCGCACACTCATGTGTATTTCATGTTCAAAATCATGTTTAGGGCTGTTGAATCATAGTGCAAAATTCGCTCTGAAATCCTGAAAAAGGATTAAAGACCTTTGGTATACGAAAGTGAAACCCATTTTATATAAATATAATTTATTATATGTTTCTCAAAATTCTATACCACTTTTCCTAACTTCCATTTATTTTCAAATTTGGAAAATTTTAAATTAAAGTTAAATTTCAAAATGTCCATATATTTGAAAATTTGTAAAAATTTAAGTCAAAAATTAAATTTCCAAATGTCCTTACTATATATTAACTGTATTAAATAAAATAGTATCTTTAAACATTACAAAAATATTATCTAGATATTAAAATAAATATTCGATATTGTTAGTAATCTCCAAATTGTAGCACACTTAAATTTCATTATCTCGATTAAATTACAAACGAATCAATTAACGATCATTGAAGCTTATTAATTAATTGCTTTTCAGTCAATAACCGCTGGCATCAAAAGGTCTATTAACCCTCTATGTACTCATTTAATTTTAAGGTAACGTATCAAATTTCTGTATGGATGTTGTGTTGTAGCCTAAAAGTAACGTAATTCGTTTAAAACCGATTGCTTATAATAATTAAGTTAATCATATTTTCCGTATTATTATTCCATAATTATCAGCAACGTAATGGCTTTTTGCAAATGTAATAAATTAGGGCTATGGAAGGTTAATAGGCTTTCAATTGGCGAGGTGTTGAATTCTAAATCCACATTTATTTTACGTACAAGATCATATGTGTTTCATTCGAAATTACATATATTATATTTAAAATCACATATTTTATATAGAGAATTGCATATTTTATATTAAATATCACAGATGTTAGCTTCTAAATTATATATGTCATAGAAAATGGGATATTTTACATTTAATTAAAATCACATATGCTACATTAGAATTTACATATGATGCATTTAAAATCGTATAGGTATTTTATATTAAAAATTACATATGTCACATACAAAATGACATACTTTAAAACTCACATACTTTATAAGTATACAAAGTCACATGTCTCACATTAAAAATTACGTATCTTATTTATAAAGCCACACATGATACTTAAAATCATATGTTATAAATAAAGTCACATACGTTACATTAAAAATCACATACATTACATTGAAAATCTCATAAATACGTTACATATAAAGTGACGCAAGTTAAAATCGGATAGTTTCATAGAAGATATTTTCCATTGAAGATCGAATGTCCAATCAATTATCGAAAGGACAGGCAGTACGCGTGTAAGGCACTTACACGTTACATGCACGTGTGTCATCAAAGAGATGTCTTTCCACGCACAGTTTGCCCGCGCGCTTTCTCTTCGTCTCTGTCCGCGATCCTCTTCCACCTGTTTCTCTATTTTCTCTCTCGATCTACCATTTCCTCCTATCTCTCTTTTTCTTCTGTCTGCCACTTTGTATATTTACCACCGTCAGCTTTCTTCCACTGCTCCTTTCCCGTCCCTTCCGTCTGTGGCACAAACCGACGAGCACCGAGAGACACTCTTGTCGAGGGCTCTCGCCGGAAGAAAGCGGTAACGACGTAACACTCTTGGAACGTAACAGGGAGAGCCAGGAGAACCTGGCCCACCTGGGCCACCAGGTCCCCCGGGAGCCGAAGGTCTTCCCGGACACGAGGGCAGACAAGGAACACCGGGCGAAGTTGGACCACCGGGTGAAAAAGGAACACCAGGACCTATTGGACCTATTGGTCCCCCCGGTACGCCGGGACTTCCGGGTCCCAAGGTAACAATAATGCTCTTTTTAAATATTATCATGTTTTTAATGCTTACAACTTTTTATAAATAATATTACAGATTAACACTATTTCTATTAAGAGAAAGACTCCTTTCAAATTTTAAAATTCTCTAAATTAAAGCATTTCTCCACAATTAATTCTTTAACTTTTCATATATGTAAGTAGCTCATCCTCTTCTCTTTATTTTTGAAAAAAAATCAGCCGCCAATACGTGAATAAGGGATAAATAAATTTGAACGTCAACTATATCTGCTTTTTATAGCAGATTGTTGGGAACAATATATTTTATGGCGAATTTTTATGAAAGCTCTTTGGGCTTAAAAGAACACGTATATATGTATACTATTCTGTTTGGTAATATTTAAAATGCTAAGTCTAACTCTGCTCTGTCATTAACTTGCAAATTTTTCAATATTTCTTGAAACACTATTCTTTAACCTTATTTGTTTATTGATTTCTTAACCATGTACAATCAGCTGATTGACATTACTGTGCGATTTAATACTAACATTTAATTTTGTACAGTTTTAGTGTAATATCTGTAAACACTTAAATCGTAGTTAAAAGTCGAAACGATAAAAAATCAGTATACCGATAGGAAATTACTTTGAGCAACCTCTTAACATTATTTCTACAGAGAGGTGTTAGGAGATACTTTGCAAATTATAATTTAAAATCTACTTTGCAAATTATAATTTAACATTATTTTCTAAGTTCAATCATTTCTCCACAATTAATTTTTTGACTTTTCATGCAATGATTGTAAAATTAATTCAGTAATGTCTTTTTGCTCCAGCTTATCTTAGGTCTACAATTGTGCATATAGTATATTTATTTCTACCATGAAGTTTTTTGATACCTTAAGAATTTCATAAGAGTGCCCAATTTTAAATCATTTTACATATAAATATCGACATCATTTTGCAGCATCGTATCAATTATAATCAAGTTAGAGAACCCTGATTTCAGTTGTAATGGAAAATATAGGAGTTGCAGTATGACTCTGATATTCGCATTATTCCCGCCATGTTGCATTTTAGTGTACACAGCTATATTTATATTTTGTAGATTGATTTATTAAGCTAGAATTTACAACCTAGTTAAATCTCTAATAAAAACACATCAATGTATCGATAAATATATTCCTCAAATTATCTACATTTAACTCATAATATGAAACCCCAACAGTTTTGGCAATTATTTGCGTTCAAACAAAAAGGTGTCACATACACCTTTTGGTCGAAATAGGAATACACAAAATCGTGGTAGAAATAGTATTAAAGATAAATATTTTGTCACTCGAACTTAAAAATTATTACTTTCTCTTATTTCGTACCATTATTACCAAATACAATGAATACTAAACAAAATCACGTATAACACTTTAAGGACTTCATGATAGTGTCTAACTTTAAACCATTTAACATATAAATATCAACGCCATTTTGCAGCATTGTTCGACATCTTTTGGTCGAAATAGGTATACACAAAATCATGGTAGAAATAGTGTTAACACCTTAACTGCATACTGAGGTAATTGAAAATTTGTCTAGGTACTGCAATTCTTACCAAAGATTTATCTAATCATATGAATTATCAAATTTTCCAAAATGATCTCATAACTATAATTCAGTCCTGTACTAATTTTGTTAGTTTTCTTATAAATATTACACACTAGCTAATTATATATCATAACTTAAGAAGATTGTTACAAAGTGAAAGGAAACTAGGAAGTTTCTTTGACTGATTCCCCAGAAATTCATGACTTTATTATTGAATATCGAATATTAAATATACAACTATACAACTTTGTTACAATTACAATTGAAGTATACAATTACACTTGAAGAGTCATTTTGACAATAAACTTGTAGGTAAAGTTTGTTGCCACACTCTCGTTCTAGTTTGACACGCGACAAATAAATTACATCACCGCAACCGATAAATTTCGTTTAAAGGTGAAGCATTAATTAATTGAAATTATGTTACTTCCCCGCAGGGTGACAGGGGTGATAAAGGCGATCGTGGTATAACAACGTCCTTGAGCGGGGAACCGTTTCCAACTGGAGTATTGGAAGGACCGCCCGGTCCACCAGGACCACCTGGTAAGCATATACCCAGTATAATTTAAATTCTTTCAAGACTGATAGCTGCGAGCATAATATATCAAAGCAACATAACACGACCACATAAGACGGTAGAATTACTGTTTTCGTGGTTCTTAAATCGGCACCGTGACGTCGGTCATAATTATACGAAGAAACCATTCGAACATATTTTAGCTGATTCAATGCTCGGTTAACACCATAACGCTCGAATTTTCTTTAAATTACTTACAATAACATAAATCTATTCTTTTTATGAAATGAGAACAGATATTATAACACGTACCACTGGCATATTAAAATTATTATTACAAATATTAACAGCTATATATTAAAAATTGATTACACACTTAATGAAATATAATAGGTAACATATATTATTACTAATACAAAATTAATTATTCATAAAATGGAAGGTATAAAAAACAAAAGGGGATACTTCAAGGGGAATGTCATGGAGTTGAGAAAAAATCATTTACTCACTTTCTATACTCATTAATTTTAATGTTAGATAATTATTAATTATAATTTTCACTTAGTAAATTATATTACATCACAAAATATTTTATGAGCATCAATGATAAACTTGCAACCTTGCTATCAAAACAATAGTTTTTGATAATTTATAATTCTCTTTTCGTCGTGTATTTTTTATGAAATTAACTAGTAATTTACAGTTCCCACAATTGTTTTTTGCACAACATTGAATTAGAGTTTTTAAGAATATTTTTACTTCCTAGAGTTGCTAAATACATATATTTTAGATGAGGGTGTACTTAATGGAATTGGATGTTTGATAAACTATGCGGTTGAAGTAAACTTTAGGTAAACTAAACGTTTTCAATCGAGCTTAAATCAGCGAATTACTAGCCCACTCTGTGTACAGAGTACATAAAACTCATTTCATATCATTAATAACAGTCTGAACTAACCTAATGGTACAAAACTTGTGCTTGCCAAACTTGCCATAATTTTAGTATTTTGTTGATAAAACAGTAGACTTTTAAAATTAGAGATATAAATGAGGTGATAGTAGGGTTTATTTTTAAAAAATTCTTAAATAGTTTTAATACTCGTAATATTACTAATGTTCTTAATATTTCTAAATTTCGCAAACAACGTTACTCTCGTTTAAACAAAGAAATGAATTAATTTATGAAAATAAGAGTGTATGCTCTCTCTCTATACATTCATTAATGTAATTATATACTTAAAATAGTAATTATATATACTTTTCTCAGACATAACCTCATTTTTCGTACTCTTGAAATTCTTGAAAATCTAACAGACTAAAAAAAATAATTAATCCTTCATTACGTTTAACTAAAAATCTGTTATTGTACGTATAAAAGAACATATTATAAAATTATTATATTTTAAACAAACATAAAAAACATGAATAAACATAATCAACGAAATCAATGAAAATACATATATTTTAAAATTTGTAATTACATATTTTGTTGTGACTTTTCAAAATATAATTTGAAATATTATTTTTGTTCGAATAAATGTTTTTAATAACAAATTACTTGTGACAGTTCAGAAATCTTTTGTTTCAACATTAGAATCTTGCAACGAGAGATTAAACAAATATCGTGCTCGATAAAAAATCAATTTAAAGAAAATACCATACTGTTTTTAGAGAGCTTTTTTGCCAAAAAATTTTCTCTATAAAAATTTTGAATAAACAAAATAATTAACTAATTTTATCTAAAAACATTAAGAAGAATTCATATATTTTATTGAAAAGATTCAAAATTCTTATTGATCTGTTCAACTATCGTTCTGCAAACTAATTTTAAATACTAATTAATAAAATATTTCAAATAAATATTAATACTTTGATGTCCAAATTTTGCGAAATGTAATTCTTGCAATTTGCCCTGTTATGTTTATATTGACATATTATATTTAAAGGGAATTAAGTTTAATGCGCGCTACAAAATTGACTGTTAACATTTGACAAAACAAATATACAGCATTACAAACATGTGACAGTGGCAATCATAAGTGGTTTAAAAGGTTACCTTTTAAATAAAGGATTAAAAAGTAAAAAGACTGAAAAAGCAGTTTGTAACCCTTTGCTCTCGAAACACGTTCATTACTCGGTTTAACACAACAATATCAAATATAAACTTTTTAACTGAGACTATAATTTTAGTCGCTTTCGCTGACTAGGGGGCTCTCCACCCCTTAAATCTCCTATTAGCAACATTTCGGCTCTTTCGACAATTTTTCTAGCTGTTTTGGCACCCTTTAGCCCCTTACACTATTTTGACGAGTCTGACTCGTGACGCACTTCGGCTATGACAAATTTTACTCCAATTTTGAATACATTTTAATTTGGAGTTCAAGTCCAACTATAATTTGCATGGTCAACAACTGCATGATACCAAATTCACATAACATTTCAAGTTTCTGTGTCTGGTTTCATGTTATGGCTGAAATTAGTGAGTTCTGACTGACGCGCTTGAGAAGAACATCATAATGCAAGGGGTTAAAAAAGTTTGATTCTTTGACAAAAGGTCGTATCTGTTATAAGTACCTATTCCTTTTCACAGGAATTCTAACCGAAGTCTAAATGGAGAGTTTCAGGTTAGGTGCATAGCTGTGAGTTTTTCTCTCTATATACACATATCACCTAACTTTTTATGATGAAAGCATATTTGTTATACGTATTAATTTGCTAGTTTATTTGCATTATATACGAGTTGTTGCTATTAGATAACGAGACTGACACTGTAACATATTTTATTTTTATTTCATTCCTATTTACTTGATATCACCTTCACTATACACCCCTTTTCTATCCTTATAACGCTCCATGCGAATCTTCCATTGTTTGAAACAGTGCTGAAAGTGTTCCGTCAGCTCCTTCAGGACGCGCCTTCTCTTTTACAGCCGTAACGGACTCAAATCTTGTTCCTTTTAATGCAGATTTCGCCTTAAGAAACAGATAGAAATTGCACGGCGCAAGATCCGACGAATAAGGCGGATGGTCAAACACTGGGATACTTGACTAGAAATCTCTTGATAGACAATGTAAAATGTACCGGCGCGTTGTCTTGGTAGGGAACCCATGCCTTGTCTATTGACAATTCGGATTCCTTGTCAATTTCTATAGTTTCAGCAATCGTATGAATACTTAACCGACGATTACGTTGATCCACATTACTGATTTTTTCGATATTGTCATCTGTTTTTGACGTGGGATGGCGACCTGGTCGTGAATCATCTTCAACGTCCTCTCGATCATCTTGAAAACGCTTAAACCATTCGAAAACATATGCACGCTATAAACATTCGTTGCCATTTAGTAGCTGTTTTTCCAAGTTTCATGTGAGGTTTCACAAGTCGTTGCTCTATCGATACATTTTACATTTTTTCCGGCGAAACAGAAAAACAGCTCTAACCAAAATGAAGATTATGACTATACGGATTTGTTTATAAAAACGGGGGTATTGCATTTGAAACAGAAGACTTCGCGCTAAAAAACAGTGGATCTCTGGCGATTGGCGCATGCGTACTTCTGTAGCAACCTCAGTCTCGTTATTTAATAGCCACACCTCGATTTTGATGTGTCATATATGAACACAGACAATATAGTGACTAGTAATAAAAGAATAACAACTTTACCTGAATTTTTCCAAATTAGAAAGCTTTACCTGTCACCTGCCGTAAAAATACTTTCGAGTGCAAAGGGTAAAAATTAAAAATTCGAGGAACACTTCTATTATATGTATATGTATATAATATAACACTTTCACCAAGGAACTAAAGAAGAAATAGTCTTCTGGAACGGTTGAGAAGAGATAACTATTCTCGTACAGCAGGTATATTTCTATGTTATCGTGCTGTACTTTCTTGTGGTATAAATAAACTCATGTATGAGTTCACATACACGCATATCCTTCTATCAATTCAAAAGATCTTGCATTTCATAGCTGTCAGTATTAATCCTTGCATAAATATGTTTAATTCAAGAACGGTTATCGTCTAGCCGATATAAATCAAGTTTCTCCGATATCCTTGTAACACTGCTGAAAAATATCATAAAATATTGATCGATAAGCATGCAACCATTGCTACAAACGGAACTCTAACGATTCCAAACGAGAATAGATGCGAGAAATATGAAAGTGTTTTTGAATTTGAAAATCTGCTTAATATTTCATTCTTCGATTATTTAACAATTCCGGAAAAGAAATTTGTTTCCATTATTATTCTTGTTATACATAAATGATTCATAAAAATATTTTATCTTTTTGGAAAAGTTTAACACAATCTTTTTTGTAAACTTGTGTCATGACACAATCTTTGTGTCTTTGAAATGGTGCTAGCGGAAAATCAATATGGAAGAATAAGTCAAAAATATGGAATGCTTCAAAACTGTTCAAAGCTAATTTTTTCAAAAAACAAAAAATATAAACATATGAAAAAATTGTATTCTATATATGTACCTTATTTCTTCATGTAAATTGACCCTCTTGTCGATTGTACCATTTTAAAAACACCATGTATATTTCTTTCATTAAAAGTACACCCTTTCATTAAAAGAAAATATGAATCGGTTTAATAATTTATTGAAATTAACAACAAAATATGCAATTAACAGTATAACACTAGAAAATGAATATTCATTTATACTATTGTAAAATATATCGCGGTATATAACATAAAATGAAGTAACGAAAAAATTATACTCCATTTTGCCTCATTTTTTCATGTGAATTCAGTTGTAGCCTTTCGAAAACACTCTGCATTTGCTTTTGACTGTACACACTGAATGGTACAGCCTGTACGTGGGATAATTAAAACAAACAAATATTAGAGGGCACGAAAGCGAACATAAATCTCACGTGATGTACATACGTAATTAAATGCGATTGTAACATTCCCTTATCGTGTTGTACCATAACGGTAACTGGACGTGTACGGATAAGCAGTAGCAGGATCGATAGCAAACAGAGAATCGAACTCGATGAGAGCGTTCGCAC